ATATTTAACCCATCATTTATTTATTCGGTACTTGCAGCCATGAAAAACCCTGCAAACCACGTCGCTGTAAAATGTACTCCCTCCTCTCAATATCTAATATAAAAAAATTATATATATATATATATATATAAGTGAGATCGAGAAATTTTGTTTCTTTATATTTTTATAAAATATTTAAAAACTATTAATATTTATTAAATTAATTAGTATTATATTTAATTATAAAATTTTAAGTTCTTGAATTTGAATTTTAAATTAGTAAAAATAGTTAATTTTTAATATTATTTTTATTATTTATAGATAAAATAGTCAAAAAATTATGTACACGAAAATAAGAAATTGCTTTTATATGTGTATATAGATTAAGAAAATTAATTATTTGTATTGATTAATCCTATAATATTTTTTAAGTTATCTTTGACATAAATATTAAAAGAAGTAATGTAACCGAAAAGTCATACATTAAAAGAGAGATTTTTTTTCTAAAAGTTATCATTATCTAATGCTTATTATAAAGAGAATTAGTGTAGGTAATCACTTTTGGTCTCTACTTTTTAGTGGATCATTATACCCCTCAAATATAATTTTTTTTTTATATCATATCTAAATAACTATTTATAATATTATAGCAAAAATATAATTTTCGTCCCTTATATTATTTATTAGATTCAATTTAGTTCAACTTTAATTAATTGAATCAATTTAGTTTCACATCTTTAAAATGTATCTCAATATTTGATTTTCCGTCTCTTTTGTTTAAATACTTAACAAATATGTCACGTGTCATGCTGTCATGCCACATGACTCGATATCATGACACGTGGTATGATGACATGACACGTGTCAAATCCGTTAAGTATTTAAATGGAAGAAACGAGAAATCAAACATTGAGATACATTTTATAGATGTGGGACAAAATTGATTCAATCAATTAAAGTATGACTAAATTGACATTAATAAATAATATAAGGGACAAAAAATGTATTTTTGTCTATAATATTCTAATATCCTATCTGTGTCTAATTATTAGAGACACAAAGTGTCTTGAGTCCTCTAGTATAAAATAAAAGTAGTTAAAATTTATTTATATTTAAAAATAAAAAATATATGTACTTTTTGTTTATAATAAAGAACAGAGAAAATAAACTACATTATTTTTTTATATAAATTAATGGGTATAAAATTATTTTTAAATATTTTATATTTGCACAAAAATTTTAATTATATATTTTTAATTATTTATAAAATTAATATAATCTAAGTAACGATTACATTTAATACATTACTTAAAACTTAATAGACACATAGTATTTTTTTATTTATATATAATTAAAATATGTTTAAATTTTTTCAAACGAAATATAAACAATTTTAACTCTATTTAATATTTTTTATTCACAAAAATATCCCAAAATAATAAATAAGAATATTATCTTTAATAAATATGATTAAATGCATTTAAAAATGAACTAAACTTAGGTACAATTTCTTAATTGTGATTGGTATTATTGTTTAATCATAATTGAAGTTTTACCTCTATAATATGTATTTGTATTTAATATACATTTCATTAATATAATTGATACATATTATTAAAGTAAAATTTTAATTTTAATTAAATAATAATACCAATCACATAAAAAAAAAACGTAACTAAATTTTGTCCTTTAAAAAACTGTGTAGAACATGTTTATAGGAAATTGTAAAAATTAACTGAATTCAACTAACTTCCTCATATGTACGTCTAGAGTAGGAATGTGGGGTATAAAAAAGTAGAGTTAAGCTCTGAAGCAAGGTTTGACTCGGAAAACTAATTGATTGTTTAAATTTGAATAATTTATTTAATCAAACCTAATTAAAAAGTGGAGTTTAACTCACCAAAAATTCTACTTGTTTAACTCATTTTAAATTTAATTATTTATACTTTTATAAATTTTCTTAATTTTTTCAATATAGTATTTAATGATTATTTTAATACTAAATAATTTTCTACGAATAGAAAAATGTACTTAACATGTGATATGTGAAATTATTTTTTAAAATTTTTACATTTTCATTATTAAATAAATAAAAAAAATAACATATTAATCATTATTGAGAAACAAACTTTAAAATTAATTTAATTTTAAAATATGATATACGGCAAATAATTTTTTAATAAAATTATATATCAAAGTTTATATAAAATTGTTGTCTTAAAAAAAAACTCTTAATGTGAAAATTTAAAAACTTGGTTCAAATGTTTAAATAATCAAATTCAATCTTAAGCTTGTCTTTATTTATTTAATTAAATAAATAAGTTTGATTCATTATTATGAATATTTTCTATCAAATATGAGGGTAATATTTTTTGAAAGTGTAACAAATATTAAATGGGTGAACATCTCTTCTCAGCTTGAGTTTTCTGCATTCATAAAAAATATAATTTGATCTTTAACTACTTGATCCTCACGATATCAACCACAAGACATTTAGGATAGAAAAAAAAATGACTATTATAAAGTGAGAGAATATACTTTAGAAAATAAAATATACTCATAATTGTTGATTATAAAATTAACAATTAAGATTTATGTTAAAATCAAATTCTTGTAAAATAAAATCTAAAATTAATTATAATATCAATCTCTAATTTTTAATTAATAATTATTTTTAAATTTATATTTTAAAGTACACTTCTCTCACTCCAAATGAAATAGATCTGAAAATAATTTTTTATAAGTTTAATAAAATTGAAATCTTCCGTCAATTAGCATGAACGGGTAGCTTAAAAAATTGAACTTCATTTTTAAAATAAGATTAAGAAAATTAAATAACATTTTTAATAAATTTAAGTTAATTTTTGGGTCCTCCTAACTAGTATATAATGACATTTTTTAGAGAACAATAAATATAATTTTTGTATTAAAAGTTATATTGATATTGCATTTTTTTTGGTACATATTAATATTTGCATTTGAAATCATAGAAGAGTGTATACTGTTGTTTCTTTTATATTTATTTTAGTGCATAATAACATTAATAAAATTTAAATTGAAAATTTTGTATATGTTATTTTAATTTTCACTATCAAGTTAATCCTAATTGTGGATGATTTTTTAAATAAAAAAACAGAAAAGATATTAAATATTTTTCAAAATTTAAAAACATATTTTCTTTATAAAATATTAAAGAATACTTAAAAAAAATGTAAATGAGTATAGGGTTGCTCCCTTTCTATATTCTTTGAACAAGATTGTGGTGTCTTTTTGCGGACCAAAGACATGATCCGGGTTGCCAATTATAGAATTTAAAGAAAAAAATATAACAAATAAAATAAATATTGGTTCAATTGGCTGAATTTATGGTCAAAGACTGACCCGTAAAATTTAACAAAGATATTAGTTGTAACTAATTGGATTATAATTAATACTCAACCCTCCTATATATGTTCATGTTACAAACCGTGTACTTTTCATACAATTTAGATATGAGTGGATTTTAGAAACGTTAAAATGTCAAATTTAAGGACGTTACAAATTGTATGAATCCCTAGTTATTTATATTAGTTCAATGTATTGCAAAGATAAACCAATCAAAAGTTGATGAGTTTCTAGCATCTTTTACATACTAAAATGACTTCAAATGATAATTTTCGAATTATTAATAATATTATTTAAATAAATAAAATTAATTAACAATTAAGATTTAAATTTATTTTATATACTTTTTAGTAACAATTAATATCATGTATTTAATATATCATTATTATCACGTGACACTAATAATGTTAGGCACAATAATATTATTTATATATATATTATATATATATATAGGTTATAATTATACCGATATAGATTAAATGTGAATTTTGTAAATCCAACTGTTAGATTGAAAATTCTTTACTCTTAGATCATATATACAAAATTTTATATTAATTCAAGATGATTTAATATTTCATTTTTATAAAAAAAATTGACATAATATATATATTACAAAATATACTAAAATATGAACACTTTGATTATCTTCAAGTTGTTATTCAATTTTAACAAAATTTGATATAAACATATAAAGTGATATGAACTTTCAATCTAACGGTTGGATTTACAAAATTCACATTTAATATAAAATTATTGAATAATATAATATTTGGTAAAAGTTACACTGGTATTATTATAACCCTCCACACACACACACACACACACATATATATATATATATA